AGAATGAAGCAACTAGAGTTGTGAGGACTGAATGAGTAAACATTAAATATGATTTTTTGCCCAAATACTGTAAAGAGTGTAAGCTGCAGGGCCATGACATGATTGCATGTTGGGGGATTCATCCAGAACTAATAGAGACTAACAAGGTGAGCAGGCTAGTGTAGCAGCAAACTTAAATCAACAGGGGCCTTTAATGATTTTGTCGAGCAGAAAAGTGGTAGGCAATGTGAATGTTAATGGTAAGGAACAATGGAAAGAGGTGAGAGATAATCGTACTAAGAAGGATGTTATTCAGAAGGAAATTCAAGCAACTACTGGAAAAGAATTAATTCCAGTTAATCAAGGTGAAAGACAACAAGTGCAAGTGGGAAACAAGTTTGCAGTTTTGGAAGTTGAGGAAGATGGGCATGTAAATACTACTTTGGTACAGAAGCAGATTCAAGCTGCTAATAATGTTGTGGTAGTGCACAAAAAGGGGGAGATCATGAGGCCAACAATCAGCTGGTAATAGTAGAAGATAGTAATAATCGAACTACTATACCTAGTCCAATTATTATTGAGAAAACACTTAATGCAGCAGCACCAAAATGTAATCCTAAGTCTCCTGGGACTGGGGTGTCTAAGGAAGGTAATAATGGCAACTCGATCGACAAAGTTAAGGACACATTTGCAACAAATAAAGAGTCTACCTCACAATGGGTGCAACATTTTTTTGGTGGTAATTTAGTTGCTATCAATACATCATTCAAGGAAATCCCATCTCAAGACTCACTCGATGCAGATACTTTGTTAAAATATTCTGGAAAAATTTAGTTGGGCGATGACAAGTTATGGAGTGATCAAATTGAGGAAGATTCAAAGGAGGGTGAACTACGGGGAGATGAGGAAAATAGTGATGATCAAGACATAACTGAAGATGATCAACATGGAGAAGAGGAACAAAGTGTGAATAGACAAGGTGTAAAAGCTGTGACAACACACAATGACAACCGGCAACTTCTTGAAGCTCCAACTGTGCAAGAAAGTGAGAAACAAAAGCTGCAGATACAGAATTCCCTTGTAGCTGCAGCTACTCCTAATAGGATTAATGACCAACCTAATGCGGAGAATAATTTATTGAATGATCTTGGGGGTACTAGAGGAGATAAAAGTGGTATAGGCGATGAGCCAAACTCTGCTGAGATTGACAAACACGATATGAATGGGCAACAGAAAAAGGAGGAGCAGCTTATTGCAAATACTGTTCCATTGGATGTTGCAAAAAAAAAAAAGCCAATGAAGGGAAAGCTAATGCTGAAAAATCACTGATCCTCAATCCCATGAGAAATCAACTGGCAGCTCAACAGAATGATCATGGTAATTATGAGAATGTGGGAGGCAAAGGAAGAGATATGGATGAAGAATCTACGGCACAAAATTTTATGAATGTGGCAAGGCAAGGTGATCTTTCACCTAGAGTAATTGAGAAAGGAAAATATACTGGGAGGGGAAAGCAGAAGCAATCCATAGAGAATCAAAGTGTAGTTCCATTCGGGGTTCAAACAAGAAGGACCCTATCTAAATCGCACAATCAATGATGAATGCTATAATTTGGAATGTGAGATCGGTGAATATAAAGAAAGCTTTTGAGAGGCTTGTCATTATGTAGAGGCAACATCATTTTTAATTCACAGGGATCATGGAACCAATACAAAAAGCAAGGAAGGTAGAAATGTAAAGAAGAAAGATTAGAATGCCACAAGCCTTCGTTAATGTCTCAAATAAAATTTGAGTGTTTGTAGATGAAGATCACGGAGTTGATATAATCATTAATATGGAGCAACAATTGACCTTAAAACTGGCAAACATGGTTACCCAAATGTCTTTCATTGTTACTTTTGTCTATGCAAAATGTGATTCTACTGAAAGAATCGAGCTGTGGGATAGTTTATATGCAATTGCAAGGGACATGTCTCTTCCTTGGCTAGTCGGAGAAGATTTTAATATTTTTTGGGATGAAGAAAAAAGGTTTGGTGTCCTGCCCGTGCATATGAATGAAGTTCTTGATTTTAGGCATTGTGTAAACACATGTAACTTATTTTATCTTAGATTTAAAGGGAGTATATACACTTGGTGGAATGGGCGAGGTGAAGATGACTGCATTTTTAAGCGACTCGACAGATGTTTAGCCAATGTAGAATTTCAGTAGATGTTTGCAAGATTAGAGATTACTCATCTATCTAAGATAGGTTCAGACCACTGCCCGATGATGTTGAGTGTAAATGCCTCGACAGTGCCAATTAAGAAACCATTCAAATTTCTTAATTTCTGGACCAAGCATACATCTTTCAAAGTTGTTGTAGCAGAGAACTTGGCTGCTGATTTTCATGCTAACCCTTTCACTTTGTTCAATCACAAGCTCAAAAAGGTGAAGAAGGCCCTTTCAATCTGGAGCAAGGATACATATGGAAACATCTTTCAAAAGATTGCTAGTTTAGAAGAGGTTGTCTTAGTCCATGAAGCACAGTTCGAATTAAATCCTTCTTTTCATAATAGAGAAAGGCTTATGAAAGTTCAAGCAGAGTTCATAAAATATTTAGCTTTGGAGGAGGAATTCTGGAAGCAAAAATCTGGAATGTCATAGTTAAAATATGGAGATAGGAACACAAAGTTTTTTCATGCTCAAGTCAATGGAAGAAGAAAAAGGTTGGAATTGAAGAGAATTCAAAATAGCGAGGGCACTTGGATTGAAGCTACAACAGCTATGGTAGATGAAGCTGTGAAATTTTTCAATGCTCAATTTCATGAAGATAAGGTTCCTGAAGCATTTGGGATACTGGATCATATGCCACATATGGTGAATAATGAACATAATGAAATGCTCATGAGGCAGCCTATCAAAGATGAAGTGCAAGAGGCAGTATTTGGGCTCAACGGGGACAGTGCAGGGGGACCTGATGGTTTCACTGGGTGTTCTTTCCACACATGTTGGGATATAGTCGGAGATGATGCGTATGACACAGTTAGAGATTTCTTCAATGGGCAGAATTTACCAAAGTTTGTGACACACAAATTTGGTGTTATTACCTAAGAAGAAAGAGGTTAATACTTATTCTGATATGCGACCAATTAGCCTTAGCAATTTTATAAATAAAGTCTTCTCGAGGGTTATTCATGAGAGGCTAGCTGGTATACTTCCTAATCTAATATCAGACGAGCAGGCAGGCTTTGTTAAGGGGAGAAGCATCGTTGAGAATGTTTTACTAACTCAAGAAATAATCACAGATATTAGAATAAGGACTAAAGTAGGGCCTAATGTTGTGATAAAATTAGACATGACTAAAGCCTATGATCGATTATCTTAGCTTTTCCTGACTAAGGTTCTGAGGAAGATGGGATTTGGAGAAAGATTCATAGGTTTGGTTTTTGGCATCATCTCAAACAATTGGTATTATGTGTTGTTAAATGGGCAGCCTTATGGATTCTTCAAGTCGACAAGAGGAGTGAAACAAGGAGATCCAGTATCTCCTACTCTCTTTATCCTGGCAGCTGAAGCACTATGAAGAGGTTTGAATGTACTTTATTTGAATTTGTACTTTTGTGGATTTGGATTGCCTAAATGGAGTCAAAAAATCAACCATTTCGCATACGCCGATGACACTATTATCTTTTCCTGCTCTGATACTACATCTTTGCAATTGATAATGAAGGTGTTATATGCGTATGAAGTTGCTTCTGGTCAGCTAATTAATAAATCTAAATCTACGATTTATATGCATCATTCTGCACCTGAGAGAGTAGTGAACAAGTTTCAAAGGATAACTGGTATCAATAGGCAAGATTTTCCATTTATATATCTTGGTTGTCCTATATTCTAAACTAGAAGAAAAATGGATCATTATCAAGGTCTCATCACCAAAGTCATGGATAGGCTGCAATCTTGGAAAGGAAAGTTGTTATCAATTGGAGGTAGAGCTATATTGATTTCACATATTTTGTAAAGTATGCTAATCCACTTATTTTCAGTTGCCAGTCCCCCTCCCTATATTATAAACAAGCTTCACAAGATGTTTGCTCTATGTTTTTGGAGTAGTGCTGTGGGTGCAAAGAGTAGACATTGGACAGTTTGGGACAAATTGTGTCTGCCATGTGAAGAGAGAGGAGTAGGTTTTCGATCACTACATGATGTCTCCAAAACTTTATTTTGTAAGTTATGGTGGAACTCTAGAACAAAACCTAGATTATGGAGTTCATTCATGATTCAAAAGTACTGTAAGAAGCTCAATCCTATTATTGTTCCTTGGCGATATGGATCACATATATGGAGGAAGATGTTAGAATGTAGAGATCTTGTCGAACATCAAATTGGATAGCATTTAAAAATGGGATCGTCTCTCTTTTGGTATGAAAACTGGACAGGGCTTAGAGCTTTATATTTTGTCGTACCTCCAGAATTTGTCATTGATGATTCTATCAATAATGTATATAAGGTGGGGCACGATGGTGTATGGGATGTTGAAAGATTGATGGACGTTTTTCCTGAGGAGTTAGCAGTATATATACTGGAGAATATTAAACCCCCAGCTGCTATTGATGTGCTAGACAAAACATACTGGATGTTGGAACCAAGAGGGGATTTTACTGTGAAATCTGCTTGATAGTTTTTGAGGAGAAAGAATGATCCTGTGATGTCATACAGTAAAATGTGGGTAAAGGTATTGCCTTTTAAAATATCTTTCTTCTTGTGGAAGGTTTGGAAAGCAAAGTTGCCTCTAGATGATTGGATGAGACGATTGGGATATTTTATGCCATCGAAATGTTGTTGTTGTGTTCAAGAGCATGAATCACCGCCTCATCTATTTTTTACATCAGTTGTAGCTACAAAAGTATGGACTTATTTTCTAACAAATGCAGGAATAAGTATGGAAGGTTTGACACTACACCAGGCAATTGTTAGATGCTGGACAACAAAAGTTATACCACGACTGTAGCCTATTCTACAAGCATTACCTACGATCATCATGTGGGAGTTATGGAAAAGAAGGAATAGTCATAAATATGGTGAGGTGGTGACAATTAGTCGAGTTATATATCAAGTTTCTACTACCTTACAGTCTCTTGTCAAAGTAAGGAAACCTACTCTGCAAAATGTGCCTCACAGATGGCCTGACTTAATACAAAAATTGGAGCAATATACTCTAGCTTTGAAGGTAACAAAAGTAATCTGGGAATTCCCTACTGAAGGATGGATCAAGGTCAATACAGATGGTGCGAGTAGGGGAAATCCTGAAAGGAGTTCCGTAGGCTATGTGCTGAGAGATGAGGAAGGAGATGTAATCTTTACACTAGGAAGGGAGATACCACAAACTACAAATAATGAGGTAGAGACTATTGTAATTCTGGAGGCAATGAGATACTGTGTTGGGAATTGCAGCGTACTAAATGGTGCAGCATAGCACATACAACAAATAGGATGTACATGGCATATATTTTGCGAGAGACTGCAGGGTTACACACAAGGATCGTGTTCAAAATATTGACGCAAAAATACAAAAGGAGCTGGTGCTGGACAGTGCTTGAGACATTCTTTTTGGCACTGCTTTGTCATGGAAAGTTGCAGTGGATCACAAGGTGCTTCAGCTGGTACAATTTACAGCATGAAGGAAATAATGATTGTTGCATCTTGAGCTCATCAACATGAATCTAGATAATGCAAGATACTAAATTGCTTAGTCCAAGCAAGGAACACTGCCCAAGCAGCATTAATGGGTAGGGGAATTGTTTGAGGATAACACCACTTCCACAGGACGAGATTTTTATTCATCGTGTGTGTTACTTATTTTCATATTAGTTTTTAATTACTTCAAATGTACTACCATAATTGGGTATCTATTACTCAATATTGGTACTAGAAGCTATGTTATTGTCAAGTTTATAGTAGCTACACTAGGAAAGACATTATAAGTTTATGTAATTTTGTTTATTTTATTTATATATAAAAACTAGCCCTAGGCACCTTGCCTAGTGGATTGCAAAAAAAAATAAAATCCAAAAACAAAAAGAGGGGGACCCTTCCTCGGGTTTGGTCCCATTTATCAAAAATCAAAAAAATAAAATAAAAGGGGAAACTTTTCTTTGACTTTGGTCCCATTTACCACATAAAAAATAAGAAGAAAAAGACAAAAGAAATCAAAAACTAATTATCATCAATATTGACTTGGTTGATACCAACACAGTTAGGAGTGTGCATAGGAAAGAACAAGTATAAAATTAGTATGATGGATAGGGTCAGCTTCGGGACAATCATAGACTCTTGCGGTAACTCTTAATTATACCTTAGTGACACTTGAAAAAATTCTCATGCTTACAGTTAGGGTGAGAATAAAGCCGACCTTATCGTTTCATGTGCATTGTGTGGTGAGATTTAGATTTAAAGTTCATTGCATTGCATTGTAGATCTAGAACTTGACCCGAATGTCTGTTGAGGCAAAATACTGAGTAATGTTTGGCTTAGGAAAGGATCGTAGGCCTTCTTTGACCCGTTTGAGCCTTTCTAGCCCACCAAATGACATTAATCCCTAGCATTACCCCTTTGAGCCTAAACCCTTTTTTTTGGACAACCACATCTTAGCCTACACCTTTCATTGTGCTTACTATGAGCACTACCCCTCTCTTGGCCCAACCTCCTCGAGCGCATTGAAAACATGGAACTTCGGACAAAGACCAAAGTGGAGGCGACAATCATGAAAAGGCAAAAGATACAAAGTCCAAGACAATCAAAGACACGACTTCAGAAAAAAGAAAAAGCGAAAACTCCACCATTTAAAAGTAGGATCCAACAAGAAGAAGAAAACTTCCACAAATTTAAAGGGAAAAAAAAGAAGAAAAAAGGAAAAACTCCACAAATTCACAGAGGAGGAACCCCGACAAAAAATAAAAGGGAAAAACTCTTGCAAAGTAGGAGAAACCTCAAAACAAATAAAAAGAAAGAAAAAAAACCTCCAAAAACAGAAGAAGAACCTCCTACAAGTTCAAAAGAAGTCAAATCAAAGAAAGGGACATCGAGCCGAACAAGATCAAGCGCCAAATCATGGTTTGAACTCCGAAGACACGGATGCAGTGCAATGCTCAAAGAAGATTAGTCACTCTTTATCCCAAATGAATATCCAACCCATCCCCGAGCCTACACTACAAACCAATTACAAAGACCTGCATGATCCTATTCCAAATGTTCTCACATTAGTGGATACTCACATAAAGGTCATGCATATGGTATCTCAATTGCATGCATTGAACATCCTTTTAAGTGTGAGTGTACTTCTCAAAATGTCCAAAAAGTCAAAATACAAAAAAAATACTTCAAATATGTGTGAAAATTAGGACATTCTTTATGGTGAAGGCACTTGAAACATGAGTTAGGTAGAATTCAAAACCTATGATTGAAGCAAGACGAACAAATCTTGTTGAACCTAGGTATACTAGAGATATCACTCGAAGCTATAGGAATTACTCATAAGTTGATCTCGGTTTGATGAAAAGTATATGATGGAAATTCTTATGCACAAAACTAATTGATGGTACCAACCAAAGTCAAGTCAAAAGATGATTGATCAATAAAATCACAATCTATCTTTCGAGTACTCTCTACAAAAGCTACAAAACAGCAAAAATATAGAAAACAAAAAGAGTCTAAGTGTTGTTCACAATAGTGTTTGGTTTTGTTATAACAGAACTACCCTAACTTCCCATGTGGGATACGTAGTCAACCCACGTAGGATCCGATCCCACACTTGTAACAAAAAACCAAAAATTATTTCTATACATTCGGAACTACTCTGCGACTTGATTTCCTTTGGTAGGAATACGTAGGCAATCCACATCGGATTCAATCATCTTTTGCAATTGAACTACGTTTTGTCATGATTCTATTGGGATACCTAGGCAGTCTTAGTTAGACCCGACCATATCATTTCAAATTCTATCTTTTTGCATCTATTGCTTGCCTAAATCGTTAATAACAGAACCCCATTCATCAATCTTCTTACATAGAAAAAATAGCTTCCTGCTTTTTCAGACGCCCTCTTGAACAATGGGAATTTCGTTTCAAAGTTAATCTTCCAGGCGCCCTCCTGAACAATGGGCATTTCATTTTTAAGTCACATTTTTTAGGCGCCCTCCTGAACAATGGGCATTTCATTTTAAGTCAAATTTTCCAGGCGCCCTCCTAAACAATGGACATTTTATTTCAAGTTCAAATTTTACAAGCTCCCACCTTCTAAGACAGGTATTTTAGATTTCAAATGCTCCGATATCGCTTTGGACCGAAACACAACTCGGATTTCCTTCAATAATTCAAAGTGCTCCAATCAATTCGGACTGGTACACAGTCCAGATTTTCTTCAAAAATCAAAGTGCTCCGATCAATTCGGACCGAGATTTAGCCCGGACCCCTTTCGACTTAGAATTCCAACCTGGGGCCCTATTTCATTCTAAAATCATCATCACATACAATCATCTCTCAAGCCATTACGATCCATCTTCCTCAAATCAAACGGAAGCATAGTCCATACCTTGTCAACTCTACTGATCACAGATGTGATACAATGTGAAATTATGTTCCGGCAAATAAACTGGGACAGATTTTGAGGACGGGCGTCAAGCTTCCCAACAGCATGTTCCAAGTATCGTTCTTATGTCCCATTGACATGGGGTGTGTAGGCAATCTGAACCCCCATAGTAAGAATAACACCCAGTATCATCACAGCTTGACGCTGGGACAATTCTCAAAATAAAAAAAATAAAAATTATCCCATCGCTTTCTCGAACTACAACAAGCCGGATTCTCGTTACATCTGAGATATGTAGGAAAACTCAACACAAAGCTCGGTCGTATCAACATCAGAATCCATTCAATCAATCCTTCCAATATCTAACATCCACGTCCAGTGTTATCACAGTCCGTCCTGGGGCAATTTTGGAAGCAATATCGAGATCACACGAACCTTTTCGTCCTCAAATATTTGTCTTCCACTCCATGAGGCTACGATTCATAAGTAGTACTAAATCTTCCATAACTACACGCGACCTGATTCTCGTGCAACCTGAGATATGTAGGCAACTCAAATACCAGATTTCGGTCACAACCTTCAAAACATCCTCATCCCTCCACTCTATCATGTCAGGTCAAAATTGAGTATGATCAAAGAGGGGCAGCTGTTGACAATCAATTTTGACCCTTCGTATTTAAAATTAACTTCTACAGGCTTCCTAATCAAAAAAATGATAAAACTATAGTATTTTGCACATTATTTAGCTCTTATGTAATTTATCGATAATTGTTCTTATTTTTGCAAAATATAGCAATTTTTGTCATTTTATTGTAATTAGTTAAATACTACCATTTTTGTGCATTTTCTAAAATGCAAAATAATTTATTGATTATTGTTCTATTTTCAAATATTAGGATATTCTATCAATTTATTGTATTTCTAAAAAATAAAATAATAATTACTACAACACCATTCTAGTAGTTGGCATTTTAAGTACTACAAGATTTCATGATTAAATAAATATATTTCTTATATAGCACAGTCTATTAAATACATGGGAGCCAGTAGAATTAATTAAAAATACGGATCCAGTCCAATCAAATTAATGTCCCGTCAACATCCGATGTGACATGACAAACGATATGACTAGACACTTAATGTGACATGTCAACCGATGCAACACTACATCTTTTACTTTTTGACTCTATATTGACCACATATTTTTAATTTGCATTTTGTTTTATTTTTTGGTCAAAATGAAGACCACACATTTTACATATGTACTCATTATAAAATATCTACACATTACACCACACCTCCCCCTCAATATCAGATTCTTCCTCCACAAAATCCTAATATACTAAGAAGCTCTCATATCCCTCATTCTTAGAGAGGCATCAGCCGCACACCCCCCTAAATCTCTCATTCTCTCACTTGAGAGAACCAACCCCATCTCCAAAAGGAGCTTTCTTCTTTGTCGTCATTGTCGCCTCCAGTCTCTCGCCCACTGCTATGCTGCCGCCGAAAGTGATGACTAGCGGTTGGCCGTCTTCAGCTATGGCAACCTCACTGCCTTCTCCTTTCCTTGCTACTGCCTGCGATCCTTAGCCGAAAAATGGCCATCGTCCATCCACGACCAACCCATATTTCAGCGACTTTGCTCTCCCTCAACTTTTCTCTCTCGTTTGAGTTGCCTCGACGCCGGCGAGAAGAACTGGCCGACCACTACTGTCTTCTCTTATTTTTCTATTTTCTTCTGCTATTTCATTATCTCTATATCTACATTTCAATGAGCATAACACATGTGATGCTACACAATGAAAACCTCACGTACTCACACTCTCAGAGTACTCAATCTGACTGTCTCAATTCTCGCTCATCACACTTAATCACTCAGCACTGTACGG